GAAGACATTGAAGAGTATCAGTCCAAGGACTGAGTCCTGCGGGACCCCACTGCCCACACCCTTCCAGGTCGAAACCGACCCATCCACCACGGCTCTCTGGGTGCGGCCCTCCAGCCAATTCGCCACCCACCGGACTGTGTAGTTATCCAAGTCACAGCCTCTTCACTTGTTCACCAGTATGGGGTGGGATACCGTATCGAAGGCCTTCCTGAAGTCTAAGTATACGACATCCACCCCTCCTCCTGTGTCCAGGCATTTCGTAACCTGGTCATAAAAAGAGACTAGATTGGTCAGGCACGATCTGCCTGCCACGAACCCGTGCTGGTTTCTCCTCAGCATAATTTGTCCTGCCAGGCTCTCGCAAATGTGAGCCTTGATAATTTTTTCAAAGACTTTGCCAAGGATGGAGGTGAGACTGACTGGCCTATAGTTGCCTGGGTCCTCCTTCCTCCCCTTCTTGAAAATGGGGACGGACATTGGCCCTTTTCCAGTCCTCCGGGACTTGGCCCGTGCGCCACGAGCATTTAAATATTCCTGCCAGTGGCTCTGCAATGATGTCGGCCAGTGCCTTCAGCACCCTCGGATGGAGCTCATCCGGGCCTGCCGACTTAAAGGGATCCAGTTCTTCCAAGTAACTCTGCACCATCTCAGGGTCTACGCATGGAAGTCTGGCGCCTTGCTGCTGCCTCTCTACAACCCCAGTGAGAGACTTGTCTTGCCCCTCACTTAGGAACACTGAGGCAAAGAACTCATTGAGGAGTTCAGCCTTGTCCCCCCTGTCCGTCACCAATTGCTTGGATGTCTATCTTGCTGGGATCCGATGACCCCAGTTGACTTCCTGCCCCTGGGGCGGGGGTCTGAACTCGACGATCTTCCGAGGTCTCTTCCAGCCCTAATGTCTATGAAATCTATGAACTTGTCTAATTATACTTTTATAATTTATACTGCAATTATACTCGCATTATACTTTTTCCCTAGAGGATCTCTGCAGACGGATCTGTCAGTATTGCCGGAGGACACATTGGAGGGAGAGAAAGCGTAATAAATATGAAGCCTGGATTTGAGATAAAACTTCACAGCGCTACCGCACATAGAAACAGGAGCTGCCTGGCTGACTTTTCATGCATAGTCCCAGATATCCTCTCCTCCCCAGCCATTCCGGGAAACATTGTGAACATAGTGATGCTGCTAAAGAACATTTCCCTGAAGCTATCCGAGGATGTGAACAGAGCAAAAATGCAGGTATTTCTTTATAGGCTTAAGAAGTCAAAGTGTGCATCACCAGTCATAACGGGTGTCATAACTGTATCTTTTGGATACACCAACAGATAGAAGGGATTCTAGCTGCCAGCTTCCTTCAAATGCTTCTCAGAGAGAAATTACGATTGCAGTTCATTTGCTGCAAAAGTGATGCAGAATTCTCATGGGGTTGCAGGCACTTCGGCGAGTAGGTATAGAATTTAAAAGGATCTTGACAAGTTGGAGAACTGGACTATAGACAACAAAATGTAATTCAGCAAAGACAGATGTAGTGTACTGCACACAAGGAAGAAAAAACTAATGCACAAATACTGAATTGGGGCCAACTTTTTTGGCTGGCATAGCACAAAGTAAACTTTGTACCATCGCCAGGTGCCAGTCTGATCCCCTTCCCCTACCCAATCTGTAGCTCTGTTTTCTTCTCCCTGCCCAATCTGCCACTGTGTTCCCTGTTCCCTCCTCAGTCTGTCGTTGAACCACACACAAAGCCTGCCGTTGGTGCAAGTTGGTCACCCCTGGGCTAGGCAGTACAGCAATATGATACCGCCACAAGAAAAAACGTGCAATATTTCGGCTGCATTAACAAGAACAAGACCGGCAGCATGATGGTACTAGGCTACTAGATGCTGGCTAGGACTCACCTGGCTTATTGTGTAATATCCTAAGTTCCACTTTTTAGGAAGGACATAGAAAAAGCTGGAGAGGGGATCCAGAGGCAAGCAAAAATGATAATAAAGGGGTCAGGCTATAAGTCACATGAGGAACGGTGAAGAGAACAAGGTATGCTTAGTTTGGAGAAAAGGAGATTAAGAAGGAACATGGTAGCTGTTTTCGAATATTAGGGCCTTGCTATACCTTGTGCTATGAGACACACACGGGTTGATGGGTGCTAGTGCTAGCTTAAGTTTAGAGCAGTCACACGTTCAGGCTAGCAGGGGCCTGAAGGACTGAAAGAGATGCATCCAAAGATGCCTCTCAAGCCGGTCCAGAGAAGTGATACTCCCCCTCTATGCGACTTTGGTCAGGCCGCAGTTGGAGTACTGTGTCCAGTACTGGGCACCACACTTCAAAAGGGATGTGGCCAGCCTGGAGAGGGTTCAGAGGAGGGCCACCTGCTTGGTGAGAGGGCAGCAGGACAGGCCCTACGAGGAGAGACTGAGGGACCTGAACCTGTTCAGCCTCAGGAAGAGGAGGCTGAGGGGGGACCTGGTGGCCACGTACAAACTCCTCAGGGGAGATCAACAGCAAATAGGCAGAGCCCTTTTCTCCCCAGCACCACCTGGGGTGACAAGGAACAATGGTAATAAGCTGATGAAGAATAGTTTTAGGTTAGAGATCAGAAGGCAATATTTTACAGTTAGGGTGGCCACCAACTTTCCAGGGAAGTGGTCCTCACCCCTACCTTGGGCAAATTCAAGAGAGGGTTGGACGATCATCTGTCTGGGGTCTTGTGAACCCAGCATTCATTCCTGCCTGTGGCAGGGGGTCAGGCTAGATGATCTGTTCAAGTCCCTCCTGACCCTAGCTACTATGAAACTATGAAAGGTAAGAATCCCCCCCACCCCAATCTAGGCTTTCTCCCTGCCACCTGGGGCCCCCCTGGTACCTCCCCTCCTGGCCCCTGGAGCTCCCCTTGCCCCCTACTCTGTGACTTGAGGCTGTCTGCACTGTCTGTCCCAGAGGAGCAGGCAGGCAAGGGTTGACCACTGCTGCTACTGGCCATCTTCAGCCACAAGTTAGTGGGTGAGCAGGGGGGGGTCAGGAGGACAGTAAGTAGGGATCGGGGGGGTGATAGGGGGGCCCAATCCAGGCCAGTAGGGGAAAGGGAGTGGGTGGGGTGTTTAGACTGAAGTGTAGCCTTGAGTGGCCCCACCTTTGTGTAACATGAGCTGGGTAACGCGGATCAGAGAGAATCCTGCCCTGGAGTGGCGTCACTCTGAGCCACCTAACAAATGCTTAAAGCTAGTGTCAGGTGTCAATGTGTGGACAAACCAGGTGTTAAGAGCTCCAGGAGCCTCCCAAAATTACCACATAATGTGGTCCTTAAGAAGGCTGCCGTGAAAAGAGCGAAAAACAATTCTTTCCCCTTGCTACAGAGGGTAAGGGCACAGCAAAGGGTTCAAGCTGCTGCAAAGCAAATTGAATGGAAATTTCAGGGAAAATGTCCATACTGTCAGACCAGGAGGACAATGCAACAAGCTGTCCAGGGACTTTGTGGATTGTCCCTTACTAAAGGCTTTCAAGAAGAGGCTGGATAAGCATGGCCTGGGATGGTTTAGGAATAAGACATCCTGCATTCATGTAGGTGCTTGGACTTAGATGACCCCAGAGGGGCCTTTGAGGTTTATGAATTTGTGTACGAGTTGAGAATCTTTTGCTCCAGCTGAAAGGCTTCAGCGAGGTAAACCTACTTCATTTGAAAATGAACCCACCAGTTGCATGCAGCCTCTTGAGGCCAGAAGTGTTGAAGTGGGGGAGCAGAATACGAAGGAGGTGGCATTTGGGGGTAGGTCAGAGCAGGCTAGTCTCGGAAATGCCCCCCCCTGAGTTGTCTATTGAAGTGGCACTCAGCCTCCACCCAAGATCAAAGATACTCTGTGCAAATAAAGGGGAGACCTTTACAGTGGGATGGAGAATTGACTTGCCCGGTGTCACCGAATAGACCAGAAGCTGAGTGAGGAGTAGACTAAACCCCCACTACAGCGTTCTCTCCATTACAGGATGCCCCCGACCACGAGAGGGCCACGTTAGGGTGGAATGACGACTCCCTTACATGACTCCCTATTTTTTGGAGGGGGGGCGGGGGGGGGGGCTGAGAATTAGTCTGGGAGTTGGAGAACCTCAGCTCACATGTTCCCTTTATAGCAAACAACCTCCCTCCTATCTCCACCCTTATCAAGTCTACTTCTTTTTTGGTGCTTTGGAAGAAGAAGAATGTAATTGCAATGTATCAAACTACCTGCACCAGAGCAGGCGCTTTCAATCATTTTTATGGTGTTCAGGATTGAATTAGGTGCTAGAGAATATTGTTTTATTAGACCAGTAGCACTATCATTGTGCATTATTCCCTAAAATAACTCTAATGACACAATAGTCTGTTCTTTTTCCTAAACAAGGGCATTAGGAATGAATGTGTATAATGGTCTTCCAAAACCATAAAAGTACAGGGAAATGAATGTGTCACTATTTCATTCAAGTAAATGGGTCTTCGAACTTGGCAAAGTACAGACGGTGCTTTCATCATGAAGAATAATTAAACCTATTTTCTGTGTTGCAGAGTTACAGCAAAATAGCCAACCATGTTCTCGACGCTTCCATAATTTCAAACTGGGCTTTCATAAGGGACAAAACTGCCGGTTCCATATTACTGGATTCAGTGAATTTATTTGCTGGGAAACTGCTTATAAAAAGTGGATCAGAGAGTATACCAGAACACTTCATGTCTACCAAGGGTTCCACCATAAATAAAAAGGCCCCAGGGAAGAGGTTTGACTTCTCCATGAGGTTTAATAACTCAAACAGCGCTATTGCTGGGAGCGTGTTCATTCCACAAGAAGAACTGCTGAAGATATCCACCCCTTCCCATGCCGTCAGTGTTGCTTTCCCCACGCTGGGGGCCATTATGGAAGCCAGTCAGCTGAACGATGTCCTTGTGAATGGAATGATTTTATCAGTAGCCCTGCCAGAGGAACTGCAGCAGATTTCACTCACTTTTGAAAAGTTCAATAAATCAAATAACGTTATGGCTCGCTGCGTTGGGTGGCATTCAACTGAGAGGAGGTGGGATGAAGCCGCTTGCAAACTGAAGACTGATGACATGAATAGTACCGTTTGTATCTGCAAGCATCGTCACCACACATTCAAGTCCTTTTCCATTCTCATGTCACCCAACACAATAAGAAATACTGTTCTGGATTATATTACATTTGTAGGTTTGGGCATCTCTATCTTCAGTTTGCTCCTGTGTCTTACCATTGAGGCTGTGGTCTGGCACCATGTTACAAACACAACCATAGCCAAAATGCGCCATATTTGCCTTGTGAATATAGCTGCATCGCTTCTGATTGCAAATGTTCTGTTTATTCTGGCTGCGGTTACATATGATAAAGTCAAAGACTATGCCACCTGTGTAGCTGCCACGTTTTTTGTTCACCTTTCCTACCTCTCCCTGTTTTTTTGGATGCTCGCTCTGGGCCTTCTGATTCTTCATGGATTGTTAATAATTTTTCGGAAGATGAAGAAATCTGCATTCATGGCTGCAGCGTTCTCTATTGGATATGGGTGTCCTTTGATCATATGTGTCCTCACTGTTGCCATTACTGAACCAAGGAAAGGCTACATACGGGATGGTGCCTGTTGGCTCAACTGGCATGATACTAAAGCCCTTCTTGCCTTTGTTATACCTGCCCTCGTGATTATTGTTGTGAATCTGATTGTAGTGGTGGTGGTTGTGGTGAAGACTGGAAGATTCTCCATTAGGGAAGGTACAAGGTCGCAAGATCTGAGCAGCGTCACCCGAACAGGCAAAAATGTTGCACTTCTGACACCTGTGTTAGGATTGACATGGGGGTTTGGATTAGCCACCATTGTTAGATACGACTCGCTGGGATTCCATGTTACATTTGCATTGCTCAATGCGCTCCAGGTAAGCACAGCATTTTGCAGAGAGTATCTCAGCATTGTTGGGGGAAGAGAGAGAGAGAGACTAAGGATGGACAGATCAACAATATAAAATTTGCACAGAGCAGATGGCTTGTAACTTGCAGTCGTATAACAGCCTGTGACAGATTGCCATCTCCCATAGCCCACTGACAAAGTCTGTGGAGTTGAACGGAGAAATCTAACCATTTTCTTAGTAAAAAGGCAGTTGAAGAATATGAAAAGGTGCATGCAGTCATGTTAAACTTGCATATTATGATAGGTGCTTGTTAACTGCAGTAATGTTGTATCATGGGTGCTAGATTTAAAGATCAGATAGCCAGCACCTCTTCTGGAATTAGTCAGTGTAGATGCACAGGAACAGTGCCAGTTCATATTATTTCCCTCTGAATGTAAAGCTTTCTTAGCTTTTGGGGGGTTATTTTGCTGCCTAAATAATAGTTTATAAAATCTAAGTGGGAAAACAGTGAAGTTTTGTGTATCTGTAACTGAAGTAGCTTTCTAAAGACAGTTTTAAGAGAGAGTCTGAAATTCAATTATTTGATAACCCTCTTGCTGTTGATAATTTCCTAGGGATTCTTCATCTTGCTGTTTGGGACCCTTCTAGACAGGAAGGTATGGAGTCACTTTGACATTCATCTGTTATTTCATGAATAAGCTTTAATGGATTAACTTTTCAAAGGGTTTTCTTATTTCTTACTTTTCTTATTCTCTAGACAAGAGAAGCCCTGAGAATGAGATGCATCTCAACAAAACGGAAATGCAGTCTAACAAAGGTAATGAATTCTTTCTCAGCTGTAATGGCATGATCTACAGTTTCATAGTGGCTTCCCCATCCATACAGACAGGAAAAGAAGGTCACTGTAAAGACATCCCTGGGTAAATAATAATACCTTTCTCTGGTACATTTTTTTTCATCTGAAGATCTCAAAGCATTTCACAAAGGAGAAGTAAGTATAATGAACCTTCATTTTACAGATCAGGGAAATACGGCACTGAGAGGGCAAATGGACTTGCCTAAGATTGCCCAGGAGTACAGTAGCAGTCAGGCATAAAATCTCTGCCTCTCCTTAATCCACCTGACCACAGTCACCAAGGGAGGAGGATCTTGTACCGAAAGTGAGCTCTTGTGGCATGCCAGACAATGTATGTCCTGGGAGGTGTGAGCAATCTGTGGTAAACTATGGAAATCTCTTGTATTTATGGATCCTGACTGGTTACTGCTCCATAGAGGACAATCAGCACCTGGAAGAGTACCCTGGTATGAACAGGAAGCCAATCCTCCTTTAAAACACTGTGTGTTGTGCATTAGTAATAGCTTGATCAGCCTGGAAGATGAATGGCTTTATTCTATGTGAATCTTGTCTCTATGGGGAGCCCTAAATATCTAGGGCTCTATCTATTGAGTGTATCTATTGCAATGCAGCCTTTGTTAGGATGAAGGTGACAGCACTTCCGATTACCCCAGGAGAGAAATCTCAGAATAAGGTGCTGTACCCATTTTGAGCCACAGTGGAAGAAACTGGCCTTTCATGCTTAGCGCTTTCGAACTGTGGCTGTCTTTTCTGTTACTCAATGTACAAAACATTTTGCCATGCTCTTGAACACTGGGATGGGACTATCACAATCTTGTAAATTGTTGGCAGGTTGTCAGGGTGGGCAGGGTTGTTATTGTGGTCAGGGTAGTCAATTAAGACTTTTTTTTTTTTTTTTTACTGACAATCTATGAGTGTTTTACTGACGACAAAACTTTTTTTAATGACCCATGCTTTTGCTGATGTATGCTTTACATAAGGTAAATATCACTCTTCTGCCAGGCTCTGTCCCGCTGCCAGGCCTCAGTTAGAAGGGCAGGGTTAAAATTTAGGGGATTAACATCAACCATAGCAAAAAAAATATATATTTTTTTTTAATTGCTTCAGTCGAAAGTTTGCCATAAATTTTTTTCTTGGGTTGGCAAACCTGTGTGACTACAGTGATGATTTTACACTGTGTTGGTTCCCTGCAACCCCCCACCCTGCTAGAGGCTATTCACCCTGATGCCCCCAACAGCACCCTGCACCATGCTGCCTCCGCAGCCCAACCCCCAGCCTTGCCTTTGCTAGCTCTGCTCCCCCTGTTCCAGCATAGATTTGGGGGTCCTATCTGTGACTCAGAGTATTGTAGGTAGCCTGGGACACTGCAGCAGCAGCATATAGCTGAGACAACTCTCCCTGCAGGGTGCTGTGCTCTTGCCCAGAAACCATGTAGTGCTGTTGTGCTCCATGTATCTGTATTTCAATCAAGCTGTGGCTGCTTAGTGTTTTTACTAACAGCTGACGTTTTGTTTTGTTTTTTAAGAACTTTACTGACAGCCTGATTTTTTTTTTACTGATTGTAAATTTACTGATTGTTGGCAACCCTAGTTGTGGTGGGGGTGAGAAAATGTCATCAGTAGCCCTCAAAGCAGTTCTCCAGCAAACTATTTCAATGGTTCAAAACCATTTCTTTGTGACGCACTGCTGTATTTCCTGGCTAGCTTAAAACTTGCAACATATCAGGTGGACTAAAACTCCTTTAGCTCAAGCAATAGACTTGTAGATTTTGGAGCCAACACATCTTGGGTTGTTCCAGCATGAGGCTATCCTCCAGACACACTAATGACCCTTATGCTGTTACTACTATCAAAGTTGCTTCATTGGTGCAAACACGGCTAAAGCATGTGTGTGTAGAAGAGGTGGTGTTTTGGTTTCTATTTTAGATGCCACTTTTATGACTTCATAAATATAAAATATATCCATGCAGTTGTTTATTTGATTGGCAATGCATACCTTGAGCCTGTTCTTATGGCATTTTGGCACTGATCAATACTGGGTGTTTGATGAAAGATTACCCTATGAAGTGATTTGTCAGGGACTCGGTGTGTTTTCTATAACAATGTTAAACATTTTCCTTGAGGCATGTAACTGAAAATATTCACATGATGAAATGATCACTCTTACTATAATAATAATAATAATAATAATAATACTGTTGTTGTTGTTGTTGTTAGGTTCTTTGAGCTACTTTTGGACATTGACCCTGTCAGTTATCTGTGTTTGGTTTCCTCAGGTCAGGCTACTATTAGGTGTTGTATGCAGGCTTTACAAAAGAAACCATATGGGAATTTATTTCTAATATGGAATGTGTTGTCCCATAAATGAAGAGGTTTTATGAGATGTACACCTATCTCAGTGCTCCACTCTCGACACTGGATGCTATTTATGTCTGCAGGAGAGGAGGGAATTTGTGGTGATGTATTTAGAAACTGGGGGAAAAAAATCCATGATATTTCTGTCCCATCAGAAATGCCAAGGTCTCAAAATCTGGTTTCATCCTCAATTGAGAGATGTTGTTGGGGTGGTGGGAAATTCACATATTCTTTCCTGGGAACATTGGTTCAACGAAGTCACTATGCTGATAAGTTGATATTGCTGTGTTAGCATTTTCAGGCTCTTGCCTTTTTAAACTTCTGACTTGCTCAGGTAGAGAGGTCTAAAGGCTTTTACTCTGCTTGCATTGGGGGCTCCCATTTTCTTCTTGCTATTTCACAGTAGCTAGAGCCAATTGAAGTGATTCAGTTAATAATTCCCTGGGAGTGGTGCTGCTGCCCAAGCAGTTCTGCTGAAGCGTCCATACTTGGAAGTCACTGCCCTTCTTCTCACCAGTGTGTTGGTTGGCCAGTCAGTTTTGATTCAACTACCTTCATGCCATGCTGGAAAACTTTCCTCCTGAGATAGTGGGTCCTGTGTACAGTCCCATGTGGATGGCTGCAGAGAGTTGTCTGATAGTCATGGGTCATGTTGTACTTATTTCCACCAATTTAATCATTTTAATAGATGTACATACAATATATATTTTAAATGCACTAGTTCCCTTCCACCCCCATGTGTTTTTTTTGCCTTAGCGAAAATACTTATAGTATTGTGTATTACAGGGCCCACTTTGCAAACCCATTCAATTCGGATTCAGATTTGGCCCAAATCAGGGACAGCGATTCAATTAGTTGATTTGAATAACTGTCCCTGATTTGATTTGGTCAAATCTGAAGATTCAATGCTGATTTGGAGAATCAGCGACTCGGCCATAGACACAGCTTTAAAAGTTTTTTCTACATACCTCAAGGTACCAGCACGGCTTGTGAACACTGCAATGCTGGGGCAGATGGAGCATCCCACAAGAGTGTGGGGGGCCCCTCCACTTCCGGTCCACTTCCGGATCCACTGGGGACCATGCTGGCCTCCCCCAACATTCCCCCCCTGGTTTGGTGATCAGCTGTGGGGGGACCCCAGGTGCCGCCCCCCCAGACCCAGGAGGCACCAGTCACCGAGCTGGGGGAGGCGTGTGGGGGCCCCCTAGGGCACTCCCCGGCACACCCAGAAGTGGACCGGATGTGCTTCTGGTCCACTTCCAGGTCTGCTGCTGAGTGTGCTCAGGAGCCCCCTGAACTTCTGTGGGACACTCCATGCGCCCCAGCATCAGAGCATTCATGAGCCCCTGTTACCTAGAGGTATGTAGAAAAAACATTTAAAGCTGTGTCTGTGTCTGAATCTCCAAGTCTTTCTGAATCAATTTGGAGGGTTCTGATTTGATTTGGCGAGATTAAAGGATCCTCTGATTCGATTCAGATTCAGAGATATGCCACTGAATCAGGCCAAATTTCTGCCGAATCGAATCAGGGACCGAAGCTTTGCACAGCCCTATTGTGTATACAATGATATTGCAAATGGAATTTGTGTTCACCATCTTTGGAATAGGGAATTCTACCACAACTGCAAATATCTTGATTAATGATGATAAAAAAGGGAAATAGTTCAGGTTGTTCTAGGTACCATACATTAAATGAACTTCTGCAGCAACAGGAAGCCCAAATTTCAAATCAGACAAAATTCTTGGGGTAGAAGGAATATCTTTCATTAGACCAGCTAAATAGTAGCAAAACAAGTTCTTTCTTTGCAAGCTTTCAGGCCCAAGCTCCCTTCCTCATCCATAGGAGAATTCAAGATTGTAAAATCTTTGAATTTTAAGTCGTGCAATCACCTACCCTGGAAATCTTTAAGAGGAGACTAGACAGTCACTTTGCTGGGGTCACCTGACTCCCAGTTATCTTTCTTGCCTAGTGCAGGGGGCTGGACCCGATCGATGATCTTCCAAGGTCCCTTGCAGCCCCTTACAATCTGTGAATCTATGAAAATTTCCCCCAGGTGAAGTTGCATTTCTACTTGGGGGGGACCTTTACAATCTTTCTGTTCTCCCATGGCTGAGGAAAGGCGTTTGGGCCCAATAGCTTGCAAAGAAAGAATTTTTTTTGCTACTATTTAGTTGGTCTAATAAAGATATCGTTTCTACCCCAAGAGTTTTGTCTGCCTATGCTTTTAGACCAACACAGCTAAAACCATTAACCTTAAAATTTCAAATTGCACACTTTCAGATCCTCAGTTATGAGCCTTTTATATGATTGTCTGCCTTTTACATAGTTACTTAAATGTTTTGTAATACGTTACATCAGGTGCTTATTTTGGAAATCACAGTAACAAATTGATATAATTTTCCAAATATTCTTCATCATTTTAGAACCATTAGCTAGATGCTACATATGGCCCACATACATAATTGATTACCTGGGATTAAAGAGAGCATGAGAGAAATCAGTGTATGAGCCTTGATGATGGCTTGGAAGGCTCCTTCTTCAAGTTCATGTAGTAAATCCTGTATCGAAATCAAATGTACCCAGGGTAAACATAACACTACAAAATGGAAGAGATTAGCTAGGCTTGGTTTTTGTTTTTCTCTGGAGACAGAGATGTTTCCTGCTGTGTGAATGAAGTTTAGATTCAAACAAGGTTAACATAAAGCTGCCATAAGGTACGTTTTGGTGAAACTGCCCCAGGGTGTTAATTAGGGAAA